TGGGGAAGGCGACACCGCTCCCTGGGCATTGCACAGCACCTAGGCAAAACTGCAGCCCCAACGCTGCTACGGTCCAGTGGTACAGCTCTGCAACTTCTATCTGGGTGTAGCCAGGACCCTCGGGTTACAACTGCCCCGATAAACAGCCACACAAAAAGCTGCTACGCTCCTTAACAGAGAGAAGCGTGGCCCTTCCCATCCTAGTTCCCCACATTAATCCATACGTGAGACTGTAAATTACTGAGCCCATCATTAGGGACGTTCACCTTGGCAGACACGACTGCTAGCTGATTGTCCTTTTCTCTGTTTTCCTTCTTTATTTTTTCAACGTCTTGCTTGAGTTGCTGCATTTTCTGCTCCTTGCCGGCAATCTCCCTTTGCAGGCTGGTCACTAGACCTGAGAAAAACAACTCCGGTGAGAGGCTACCCAAGCGCATCCCTGCAAAAGCCCTCTCTCTAGCCGCTGAGTGGCCAATCCTCCCTCTTTGACAACTGTCAGACTTGAAAGGCGGATTCGGCTTTTGGCACGCCGTGCTGGACATCGCTCCGTGACACCACCACTAACAAGTTCCTCGGGGCCTCGCAGCACATGCTCCCTGGGGGATGAGCAGCTCTTACGAATCCGTTTTTGCTGCGTTACTGTGCCAGATCCACAGCTCTGATGCCTCCTCTCTGCTAAGCACCAATACTGCTCCCTTACCTCGGGCAATGAAATCGAGCAGAACAGTTTGGTTAATCTGAATGCATTATGAAAGCCAACGTTTTGTGTACGCATTACATTCCTCGTGCCTGATAAAGGCAGAGGTAAAGGCCATGGGAAAAGGCTTTTGGGCCGAGGTGGCCTTTGCAGCCAGGCGCAGCCCCGCAGCAGCTCGGGTGGGCAGATCTCCCCCACGGGGTGCACGGCAGCCCATTAAACAGCACCGCTTTCGAGCAGCTCGGAACCTTCCCTGCAATCAGTGCTTGAGCCTTTTTTTCCCCTAACAAAGCTCTCGGTCCCATCACTCCCTGCCTTCGATCCCCACGCTGTCCCTCACTCCAGGGGCACTCGTCATGTCAGACACTGCCTGCAACTCCCGCAGAGCTTCAGGACGCAGAATCAGAGGTAGGACGACTTCTACGAGCTGCTACAATTCATTTGTTGCCCGGACAGTTTTGCCAATGCTCACTCAGTATCAAGAGCCAGTCCCAAACCGCTTCGTGCCCCAACACGGAGCTCCAGGGATACAATACCTGCAGCCAAAGCATGGTCCCTCTTCAACTTCTCGCTTTCTTTTCGCAGCCTTCCAATCTCCAGGTCTCTTTCGTAGAGGGAATGGCTGAAAACCTGGCTCGAGCCTTTCTGTAGGTTGCTGATCTGCAAAACACAGATTCACCCGCGTTCCTCGCCGGATCACTTATTAACTTTACTACAGCCCCCTTCGGAGGGGGAAATCTAGCGCTTCCAGGTCACACTCTTGACGGGGTTACTCTTTAACATCTTTGACTAACTCTCAGCAGCCATTGCTTCGGATAGGATGACCTTAAGTTCATTTTGGCCGTTCACACTCAAATCCTAATATAAAAGGCACGGAGAAGCACTGTCTCCCGCTGCCCACCATGCTGGGAATCCATGGCTGGGTGACACTGCTAACGCGGTCACAGGCAGAAACGCCTGCAGATTTATCGCCTTCTCAGGGCATATATATTTATTACCACAAACGCAGATCTGTGGTAATAACTCGTGTTCGCATTTCTGCTGCAGAGACAGTTTTTACAGTCCCTATTGGAAATGGGGAGCGGGGAATAGCCTGAGCTAACATCGCCGCACAGACAACGCGCAGACAGCACAAACACGCTTCCCACCGCTCAAATGACCGGTTTCACAAAGCAATTACTGGAGGGCATAGAAGAGTGAATCCACAGGTGGAAGAGGCTTTTGTCAGAGAAAGGAAAGCCACCGGGAAGACAGGCACAGCACATCATCTCATCTCGGCGCAGTAACAGCAGCGATGTTGACAGCACCGCGAAATTATATTGCCTTTTCTCCACCGGGAACCTGCCTCTCTCAAACTCCTCTTCACGACAGACAGTCAGGACAAGCGGAAAGCATTTCAAAGCCTCCTTCAGACCCGGTATGATATGGGAGGGCAGGATGCAGCCGGGATGGGCTGGCGAAGGTGCCCAGCCTCTGACCTGTGTGTCTCGCTTTGGACCGACACCTCGGATTGACCCTTTTCCCACGCCGGAGGATACTCAGGAGGACACTCAGGAGGACTCCGTCACTGTCTCTCCAGGACATTTTCTGAGGTCTCATAAAATGTAGGGGCGTGCTATTAACATACCTCTGGACATGACAACTATAAGCCCTCTCTCCTCTACCCAGCCGACTATTTTCACCAGGACGCCAAGGGGCTGCGCTGCCTTTGGGAGGGGTGTTCCCCCTGCAAACGCAACTGCCCACTCCCTTCCTGGGGCAAGAGGGGGCGAGGGGGAAGCAAGGGGTCCGGCTGCCTGGCCCGAGGTCGTTGTGCATGCCTTTCCCCCACCAAAGGCTGCTTAGGCTTCTGTTTCCCTCCCCACTGCAGCATTACGGATCCTACCGCATACATGGGATATTTATTTACCAGCTTCTTTAAGGGAAACTTGCACAGAAAGCAAGCAAATGTGCAAAACAAAACAACTGGAAGAAAAAAAAAACCACCTCCCTCATTTCCCTTGGTTTCAGACATGCAACCTGCTTCTCCTAAAAACTGGGTGTTAAACTAAAAGTACATGGGTATCAGAGAGGTATCTTCCCTGCTCAGTGCCTATCGAAGCATTCAGTACCTGTTCCCTCAAGGCTTTGATCTCCTCCGTTTTGGCTCCCAGCTCTCGGTCGAACGTGAGCAGCTTCTGGGTCAGCTCTACCTCGTTCCTCGCCGCCGCCTGAGCCAGGGTCTTTGCCATCGCTGCAATCTCGTCCTGCAGATCTCTTATCACTGCATCTTTCTGCTTTGATTCTGTTTCCAAACCAGAAAGGCGACCGATTTCCTTCTCCAGTCGCAGCAGCTTTTCACCCTGCGGGCAGATTACGGGTGCTGGCTGTCACTCTCTGGCTACGGAGACACCGGGGGGTACCGATTCATGGCCATCGACTGCTGGGATGTGCTCGCCCTGGCTTCCCATGTCCCACCGTGCCCATGTCCTCCATCCACCCAGCAGTCCCCATCCATGGGGGCAGTCCCCTTTGGTGAGTCCCTGCACCCTGCTGGGACTCGCGGTCGGACACCCAACCCTTTGGCAGGGTTTGCCTGCTCTGCCAAGGACCAGGACAGGGATGGCATCCCTCACACCTTCCCCGGCATCACCTTCTCCTGCGGGAAGGAATCCGCGTCGTGAGTCCCCAGGGAAGGGGCTCCCCCCACACCGCTCGCACCATCGCCCGAGACGCTGGTCGAGACTGGAAGAAAGCAAACACCACAGCAGCAAACGTCAGCACGAGAACTGGTTGCAGGCAGCAGTAACGCTTCTTGCGGCATCCCTCTCACTTGTCTCAAAACTATTCTAAGGCAGCAGCTGCTTTAACAGTCCATGAACTGGGTTCCCAACCAGAAGAGAAACCATTTGGCACTGAAAAGACACCAGTGCAAACAGTCTGCACCACGGACAGGAATAATACACCTCTGGGAACCAAAAAGGCCTCAAGGGCAGCAGAGACACAGCAGACAAAGGCTCCTTTAATTTTTCAGCGTTGCCCAGCCCCACAGAAAGAAGCTATGCTTTTATGGCTTCCCGCGTGTGAATAGCTATGCTCACTGCAGCTAGCGCATGTGGATCCTTTTGGCTCTATTTCCCCAAAATCAAATGAGTACCTGTTAACTTGGAGCGCGTGCTTCCCTCCCTTTACCTTCACTGCAATTTCAAATTCTGCCCGTGCACGCGTCTTTCAGCGATGCTGCTGGGGCTGCCCGGTACTGCCTCTGCTCTGGAGCACCAGCTGTACTTTGGCACTTCACTATTGACTTTGCATTGCTTATGACTGCTCAAACAACCCAACCTCAAACCAGGAAAACAACCGGATTGTGTAACAGGCCATAACAAGCTACATTCATGGCAAAAGTCTCGTTCTCCAGCTGTACGATTCCCCCAAAGCCTTGCCTCTGCTCCACCGCTATTGCATACTTTATTTTCAGAAGCATATCAGCTGTGAACCTAGTTTAAAGTTCCTGCACTCAAGGCGGCCAGTAACTGCACCTCAAAGGAGGAAAAAACATCACTTCAAACAGGAGACAGGAATAGGTGCATGAGTCACCGGTGCAGATAAAGTTAGTCATTGCCCTTCCCGATCACACGCAAGGAAAAAGGAGGAGGAAATGTCACTCTCAGCTATGAGGGCAATGGCATTCCCCTTTGTATGTCACAGCCCATTTCTCAACTGACCTAAATGCCACCGAGGACCACGCACGGTCTGCGATTAGCTCCACTGGACAAGGACTCGCGCCCAATTGCTGCTGACACTCGTCACTTCTCAAAACTGCCTCTGCTTGGATCAAACTCCACTCAACGCTAAGTTGCTCAGAGACAACACCGGGCTATGAACCACCACGTTTGGCATCGGGGAGTACCTGGCCTCACCGCGGAGGTCCTACTGAAAGCGTCCGGCGGGACGGCGGTGGCCATGCTCCTAGCCCAGGCACTCACGGGTCGCTTCCGCAGCGGCGGATGGGGCACGTGGCCAGCTGCTCCAGGAGCCCAGCCGTCGGGAGATCCGGGGGGATGCTGCCACTGCAGCAAGGGGAGGTGGGGAGGAGATGCAGGAGTCGAAGGTTTGGGCTCTGCAACCAACTGGAGCTGCCCGGTCCACGCTGTGCGACGTTTCACGGGGGGATAGGACATCTGCGGTGGAAAAAGACCGCAATATCAGCAAGATTCTAGGAAGGTTTTTAGCCCCTGCTGTGCGTGCATTCTGTCATACAAAACCCAGGCACAGATCTGAGTGGAAGCAGAATTTTAGTCCTTTCCCATTTCCATTGCCCAAGTATCAGATTTAAATCAGGAATCCCAAATATTTTGCTGAAAACGAAAGAAATTATTGGGGTTTGCTGCTTTTTGAGCTCTTCCCTCTCTCTCTAGATTTGATTACCCTAATTCTGCGTGTCGTTTGCAAAATCTGGAAGCCCTCGTTTCACGCCTCTCCTGGCTCACACAC